AACTCAGCAATACTACCTCTAAAGGGCTGCCAACAGCCAAAAAAAAACCAAAAACATACAATGAAGATCAGTTCATTTTCATTTCTCCTCATCTCTTCTATTACCAAGGTTTATTTTTTGGACTCTCCATCTCTTGCACCAGAATATAGCAAGAGTTGTTTCATGTGTGAGCAACTGATGTACTTTCCTACAGGCAGCAAATGCCTCTTCCTCTGCCAGAAATCTGAGTAGTGAGGGAGGTCTTCTGAAGTCATGTGGTGTTTTGGTGAATCCATACAGATTATGTTGTTGAACAAAACTTTCAGTCTTCATACTTGCAATCTCAAAAACTTTCCAAGGCCCTATTCTTCCCAGTACTTCCACCTGAAATATTACTTCATTGATTACAACACACTTTCCACTGTGACCCCACCAAGTGCTCTCAAATTGATAACTTTCAGCCAACACCCAAAGTTTCTCTGGAAAGCTGAGGGCAGAAAAGATGCTGGGTTTGTCAACGCTTTCTTCAGAAAAAGTATGAGATAAACATTTGGTTTTGTCTTCATCAATAAATATTTCTGACTGCTTTCCATCCATTATCAATGCTATGGCAGCATCACCAGATGTTCCTTGATCCTGTCTTGGAGGATCAGCAGACGTGCAGCCTTAGAACTCAGCCAGGTTCTCTGAATCAGAAGCAGAAGTTTCTGCACATGGTTCACTTTCTCTTGTCTCCATTTGCCCAAACTTTGCACTTGCAGCCATTTCTGCAATGAGACAGTCTCTGCCCTGCTTTTCAGGAAGTAAAATCCAATGGAACTGTCTGAGGGTTCCACTGGGAGATGCTCAAATGTCACCATGGCAGCCACAAGTCACCACAATGGCATCACCGTGTGGTGCCCCAGAGCCTGGTTGGATGCAGCAGCCTGAACATATGTTGCTGACCTGCACTTATTGTTAGTCCTGCACAGAGCCACAGGTATATTAACTTCAGTCAAGAAGTAAATAAAACTGTACTTAAAGGGTACCACTCCTCACCCAGACCTTGCTTGCCCTTCCCTGCACGGTCCCCTGAGTAGCTCCCTTCTGACATCCTTTTGGTTCTCCAGATGGCAGCAGGAATCAGTTTTCCAAGCAAGGCTAACAAAAGAAAATAGCGATCTCTTCCCAGTTTGCCACCACTTCTTGGAGACGTTCTTTGATTTCAATAGCACTGCTTCTGCAGAGCAGTAGCTGTGTGCACAAGCAATGAGCTGCCATGTCAGCAGTCTCCCAGAGGCTGCTCTGTAGATCCAACTAGAACAAGACACCAAGTATGTTTTGCTGATGGCATAAACAAGAGATGTGCAACCCCGCTTTTCTTTGGTTTGGTTCCAATGCTTTCATTTGATATTTTAGAAATCTAGAAAGCAATCAAACAAAACCAGTGATGTTCCTGAAGCCATTTGAATCACGCCCCTTTCTACAGGATTAAGTGCTTTATCTGAAGGGAAAGGTTTGATGTAGAGATGGTGTCTGGATGCAGGACTGGGATGTATGATAAGTTTGAGGATAGCACTAAACTGACAGGAGCTGTTTGCTCCTTCAGAGGCAGAGAAATCTTGCAGAGAGGTCCTGACAAAATGGGCAATCACCAACAGCATGAAACTGAACAGGAGCAATGTTGGATTCTGTACCTGGGATGGGGCAGCCCTGGATGTATGTACCTCCTGCACTGGGTGCAGCTTTGGCTGCCACGATGTCAGAAGGAAATAAAACTGTTAGAGAGTGTCCAAAGGGGGACTGCACATGGGGAAGGGTCTGGAGAGCAATGCTTTTGAGGAGCAGCTGAGGTCCTGTGGTTTGCTTAGCCCAAAGCAGAGGGGGCCAAGGGGAGGCTTCATGGCAGCAGTATGAATTTTGGGTGGTCCTATGCAGAGCCAGGAGTTGACTCAATAATCCCTGTGGGTGCCTTCCAACTCGGGATATCCTGTGATTCTATGACTGTAGCCTGCTCACTGTACCTACACAGCAACTTTCTCATTTTCTACGATCCACCCCATTTGAAAAAAAAAAAAAATAATAATAAAAATTAATGATCACCCTGGGATACTGATTTTTTGTTTGTTTGTTTGTTTGTTTCACAACACCACGGAAATCGCTCACGTCCAACAGTTAGCAGCTTGGCTAACATTTTACTTAGCCGTGACCGTGCCGGCAAGGTTCACCCGCTCACCACACCAGCCCACGGACCGTTGCATCCCCCTCCTCACGCGCCCGCCATTCAGAGCCCCGGAGGCGCATGCGCGTGGAGGCGGACATGGCGGCGGCGCTCGGGCTGTGGCGGAGCAGTGGCCGCGCCTCAGTCTCGCTGTTGAGGTTGCCGCTGCTGAGCGCGGCCCTGGGGCTCCCGGGTAAGGAGGGGCCCCGGGGCTGCCTTGCTGGCGCTCCTTCGCCGCCAGCCAGGGCGAGATAGGGGTGTCCGGGCACGGCGCCGGTCCCTGGGGTAGGAGTGGGGCCGCTCCGCTTCCTAAGGAAGCGCGAGGAGGAGCGGGCGGATGTGTTCGTGTGGGGTGGCGCTTTTAGCGAGTGCGCGGTCCTGCGCTTTGGTCACAGCAGCCCCAGCGTTGCTGCAGGCTGGGAGCAGGGTGGCTGGAAAGCTGCGCAGGGGGAAAGGAGCTGGGGGTGTTAGCTGATAGCTGAATGTGCGCCGGCAGCGTGACCAGGTGGCCAGGGCCAACGGCGTGTTGGCTCGTATCAGAAATAGTGCAGCCAGCAGGAGTAGGGAGGTGATCGTCCCTCTGTACTCAGCTCTGGTGAGGCTGCATCTCAAGTACTGCGTTCAGCATTGGGCCCCTCACTACAAGAAAAACATCTGGAGCTCTGGAGTGCTCTGGAGCGTGTCCGGAGAAGGACAAGGAAACGGGTGAGAGCTCTGGAGCACAAGTCTTATGAGGAGCAGCTGAGGGAGCTGGGATTGTTGAGTCTGGAGAAGAAGGGGCTCAGGGGAGAACTCACCACATTCTACAACTTCCTGAAAGGAGGTTGTGGTGAGGTGGGATCGGCTTCTTCTCCCTTGTAACAGAGATAGGATGAGAGGGATGGCCTTAAGTTGCACCCGGGAAGGTTCAGGTTGGATATTAGGAAATACTTCAGAAAAAGTAGTGAGGCAGTGGCACAGGCTGCCCAGGGAGGTGGTGGAGTCACCATCCCTGGATGACATTCAAGAACTGTGTGGATGTGGCATTGAGGAACATGTAGTGGGCATGGTGGGGAGCTGATGTTTGAATAGATGGTCTTAGTGGTCTTTGTGATTATATGTGATGATTCTGTGAAATAAGGAGAAGAAAGTATTGGGTAGCTGTGCAGATAATTTATGTTCTCAGCTGTTGAAAAAGAAGTCCTAGCATGTGACTCCAGGGAAGTATGCATTGTAGTTGGCTGGCTGAGGTGATTTCTTTAGGCTTTTGGATTATTTGAGTTTGAATTGCTGCTGGTGTATGCGGAGTAAGTTACAGAATGCATAGGATTCATTCATGGAATTGTTTCGTTCTCTTGTGGCTCAGTTTAAACTTTGCTTTGCCTCAGGCAGCTTGAGGTCAGTTCCAGAATGCTGTAGGATGAAAATGTAATGGCCCAGAAGATGGTTATGAACACATATGGGAGAGACATACTCCTCACTTTTTTCTATGAAGTTTAGCAGTTATTGATACATCTCTTAATGACAGGCAGACAGAAATGATTGCCTTACTGATGGAGACAATGCATAGTGTGAATGTATCTAAACAAATAAACTTCTAGTGCTATATCACTTCCCCTTCACGCATCAGTGGGATGAAGAACTGTCCCATCTTTACATGAGAGATAAAATGGCACTTGTACTTGTGCACATGCAAACTGAAACAAAAGATTTGAATATATCTTTGTTTGTGAAAGGAAGCAGCAGAATAACTAAGTGTTGTGGCACTTTCAAAGCTGGTTTTTGTAGTATGTTGACCAGTGGTTATACCACCAAGGTGTCCTGATGTATTTTTTAGGGTTGGGTAGTTTTTGTGCTCCACTATTGATTAATGGTATTCAAGAACCAGTGCTCCTCTAATCTAAAGATTAAGAATGTCAGAGTCTTATCAGAAGTCCTGCCCAAGCTTTCAGTTTAACACATTATCTTGCTGAGAGGGATAATAGAGTGGATTAATTCCTTGTAACACCTCTCTACAAACCACTTATCTTCATCCACAGTAGAGGTGCAGCTGACTGCCAAGTTCAGATTAAATACAGTAGCAGCTGTTGAAACTCAGCATAGTTTTCATTTGGTAGCATTTCCTTTATCAATCTGTTCCTTGCTCGAAGCCAGCTCCATTTGTGGATGGTTGTTAATGCAAATAACAGCTCAGACCTTAGTGTCTTCTTTCCAAACGTGTCTGGGTTGTTGTCTCCGGCCTTAACAAAAATGAAAAAAATACGTTCTCTGATGGGAAAACTGCTAAGGTCTGACAGTACATTGCAGGTCACTTTGAAAGAAGTTGAACTAAATTATCTTGCATTTTTTAAATACTTGCAAAATATTTAGCTTCTTGTGGGTAAAGACAGAGCCATTTGAGTGCAGGTAGAATTTATCCTCTCCAGGAAGAATGCATAAGACCACGTGATGGGAGATCTTTGCCTCTTTAGGAAACGCATGAGAAATCCATAGGTCTACAACAGTCAACTCTTTCTCCCTTACGAGTTGTGTTTAATACATTTTTTTTCTGTATTAACAGAAAAGGCAGCTTTATTTTTTAACCTTTTGTGCTTCGCGTTTAAGGAAAAAAGTGCTGTTAAGATGAAACAGTTGTGAGGAATTTGACTCAGAGCTCATCACCCTGCTAGTTTTCAGTGTTACTGAATCGTCTTCAAGTAGCAATAGCTGTGAATGGTATTGTGGGAGATGCTGTGTGTTGTGTGTTTCATCCCACACAGTGCTTTAGGTTCAGAATAGAATTATTTGGTATTCACTTAAAAAAAAAAAAAAAAAAAAAAGCCGATGAAGAAGCTGTCATTTTATGAGAGATAAGTAAATATTCCAGATGATATACAATGTGAGGACAAATGAAGCATAGCATATCTTAGTGCTCAGTTTCTATCAGCCACTTTGCTCATTGCTGAGTGGACTCCTTACGTGACTGATGCTGCTACTGAGCACCTTCAAATCATTATATTACAGTATTGAAGAGCGTAGAAGACACTTCTGTTTTTCTTGTCTCCTGAGCCTAAATATCTTAATTTCACATAACATACATATATTTTCTGAATTCTCATTTTATAAAATGTTATTATTTCTGCAGAACTGTCTTCGTGGTGGTACTTCATAGCTCTCCTCATTAGTTTGCAGGTGGAAATCATCAGTCAGTTTTCTTACTCGACCAGATCGACCAAATCTAGCCTACCGGAAGCTGAAAGGCAGGAATCCAGGGGTTATTTTCCTTCCAGGCTTGCGGTCGAATATGAATGGTCAGAAAGCAACTGCCCTTGAAGATTTCTGCAGCTGTCTAGGTCATGCCTTTGTCAGGTATGTAGAAGTGTTGTTCTTGAGAATGTGAAATAGGTACCATGCATAGACCTGGGTGTTTATTTCAGGTGCATGTTACGCTATACGCAAGCTGATAAGTGTCTCTCCTGCATTTCAGACATAGAATTTCTATCTGATTGAGGTATATCAGGACAATGTATTTTGAAAGAAATTTATCTAAATTTCTGTGGTCTAGGTAGTGTTACATGTTAAAGATAAGGGCACAGCAAAGAAAAAGAAAACACTTAGAAATGTTAGTTTTAGCATGTAAAATACTATTTTTTTTTCTAAATTATGACTGTATGCATGATTTTTAACTGCTGAATTGTACTGAGCTGTCCCATGCCTTCTGTAGTTGTAGAGAAACATGCACATTCTTGGTAATATGTTTTGAGTATTCAGGCTGAATGCTGAACTTCATAAGTCTTCCTGATTGCATATAGCATTTAGAAGAGCTTTCGCACTTGTAAAGAGCCTTTAATATTAAAGTATGTTGTTTTTTAGTTGTAAAGGAATTTGTCAAATTTCTTGTTTGGGAAATACCCTGATAAATTTGGATATGGCTATATGAAATGCAACTATTTCATCATGTGTGTATAAATAAATAGTAATATAAATATAATATAAATAATAGTGATGTGCAGAACCAAGAAAGAAAATATTCAGTGCAGTATATTGTCCTTTGTTTAATTTGTGTTAAACAGTACTGCTTAGTTTTAGTTCCTGTGTTGTTGTAGGTAGGTACCACAACTTTTGATGATTGTTTTTTCAGATTTGATTATACAGGATGTGGAAGTTCACAGGGGAACTTTGAGGAGTGTACGATTGGGAAATGGAGAAAAGATGTTCTGTCTGTACTGGATGAACTTACAGATGGACCACAGGTTGTATTTCATTCTTAAATATAGAACATGTTTTTTCCTCAAGATGGAATATTGTACAATCAAAAATATACTGCAGTAGGTCCTGCGTAGAGTAGCTTCTGTTTAATAGCTTGGACCTGGTAGCTGTCAAGCAGACCCATTTGAAATGACATCATTTGTAGGGCTTCTTTTGCAAACAAGTGGATCACAACTTTATGAAGGTATGGGTTGGCAGGAGATGATTCAGGCTGAGCTGTCACTGGCACTGGGTTACATCAGCCCTGGCCTGGTCCCAAGAGGTTTGGGAAAGGGAGGAGGTTCCACCTAAAGAGGGATAAGGAGCTCCTCGTGGAAGCTCTCCTCATGGAAGAGTGAGGCTTTGTTCCACTGCTGATGTATTTATTGAGGGATTTGCGGAAATGTTGAAAGTTAATATGTTCTATATGATAAAATAGCTTTAAAAAAAAAAAAAAAAAAAAAAGCAGCAGAAACAGTGTTTGGCTTCTTCATTTATTTTTGAAATGAATGTGAGAAAGTCAGTCTGCATCCCAGAAAAACCTAGTATTGTATTTGAAAAACATCTTATATTCTGAGTTGCTTTTGCTGACCTTTGTCACTGCACAGAGCCTTTGTGATGTGCATTTATTTTAAGAAGGGAAAAAAATATGCGTGCAATACTGAATTGTTTCAACTCTCATTTTGTTTACAGTGTTTCAGTCTCAGAGACCAATAATCAGCCATGTCAAACAAAAAGAATAATAATATTCCAGATTCTGTGGTGCTTACTCAGGCAAAATTTCCACTGGAGGTGACAACATTTCTGCCTGGGTAAGGACAGCAGGATTATGTCCGAGGTTTAAGCAGTTAAATGAGATGAAAGCTGATGCTTTGTAAAAAGAAAATAAAAGCTGTTTCCTATAAAATAACATCTGATTTCTTCTCTTTTAAGATTCTGGTGGGCTCCAGCTTAGGAGGATGGCTGATGCTCCATGCTGCAATAGCACGCCCAGATAAAGTAGCTGCTCTAGTTGGAGTAGCTGCAGCAGCAGACCATCTTGTGACAGCCTTTAAGAGGCTTCCCATTGAGGTAAAGCTGATCGTTGTTTGTTGTGCAGTCAAAAACTTTGTCAAGCTAATTGCTTGAAAAAAAATCTGTTGTTCAAGCTGTACTTTCCCTTCAAGTCTTTCTGTATTTGTGGTAAAGGTAAGCAGAAAATCTACGATAATCAAAGTTTCTGCAAAATACGGTGCTTCTGGTATGATGCTGGTGTGCACCTGTACTGTGTTTATGTTACTGTGGCATATAGGATGTGAAGTCAAATCCCTGTTCAACAGTCTGTTGGATTTCAGTGTTAAAATACCTTATATTTGCATTAAAATTGGGTTGAATCCTATTCAGCTTACTCTATATAAGTTGAATAGGATTGTGCTTTCAAGGGGCAAAGTTTTAGTGTGTTTAGAACAAAAATAAATTGAAACATTCTAAAAAAACCCACTGTAACATCTGTCTTTTATACTTTGCACTTTTTATAGGTACAAAAAGAAATAGAAGAGAAAGGTGAATGGAAGTTTCCAACAAAGCACAGCGAGGAAGGATATTACTCCTTGACCTACGACTTCATTAGAGAAGCAGAAAACCACTGTCTGCTAAATAGCCCTATCCCTATAATGTGTCCCATCCGTCTTATTCATGGCATGAGGGATGGTGATGTCCCTTGGCAGATCTCTATGCAAGTTGCTGATCGTGTTCTGAGCAAAGATGTGGATGTTATCCTCCGCAAAGCTGGCCAGCATCGAATGAGTGAAAAGGAAGACACAAAACTTCTTGTGAATACCGTTGATGATTTAATTGACAAGTTGGCAACGCTAACGTAATCTGCAGAGTAGCATAAATAGATGAAGCCTACACCTGACTCTTTTCTGTCAGTAGCAGAAATCCTGTTCTCACTGAGATTATTCTAGTGGTGTGACTATCACAGTAGGAACAGAGCTCTACCTGCTGTTTCCTTACCTCTGTTTTGTAAATACGAGTATTTTTTTAATGCTGCATTTGCACAGATAGACCAAAATGTAAGGAAGTGCTGCTGCTGGGTGTAGAACCTCTGCTTTACCTCTTAAATCTTTTTTTTCACAAGCTTCCTACCCTTTTGTACTGAAATGCTCATTCAGTTTTGTTACTGTTTGTACGGTACAACTTCAATTTCCCATGTTTTTGATGCTGTTTCAGTACAGGTGTTTTGCTATAATGTCGTTGTATTTCATCTATCTGTGCAAGGCAATGCACAATTTAAGTGTTTACTGAAATTACTGATACTAGAAATAGTGAACAATATGAAGTAAACAGATTCTTTGTCACTGATGGTAGTGTTCTTAAGCACTGTTTACGTTGTAAAATGAAAGGCACGCCCTGGTTGTGTGCTTGGGGTGATGAATAAGTAGTAAGTTAATTTGGGATTTCCTTATAGTATATGAAGACTATGCTTAACAAAGATGAATGCCCCCACTCCTGTTGCAGAGGCTTTAAGAGCTTAAGGACACGCAGCCTTTAGGTACAGGTAGAGCCCTTTTATCTATGCTCATCAGAAGTACTTACCTATTCATGCCTTCCATAAAAAATTATTTATGGGACTACTGTTAAGGGAATAATACATCATCTTGGTGTAAAGTGAGCAATTTCACATCTTCCTTAAGTTTTGAAGCTTTACAACCTCTTGAAGACATACTTTTGAGGAAAATGAACAAAGACAACATACACAAATTGCTCAGCCCTTTCCATTCCTGAAGGCTCAGTGTGTTTATGTATTGTTGAACACTTGCCGTCTATGTGTAGTCATAGGACTGTTGCACGTAATAAAACCTGAAAAGTTTTGTGAGTTATAAAGACATAGGGAAATCAGAATTAAGTTAATTAAAGACTTTCTGCTCGTAGATTAACCATGATAATTTTTTTAAAATGTATTTCTGTCACATCTTTTGGATTGCTTTGTCTTCTAAGAAGTTGAAAAAGGTGCAGTGCAGGAATTCAGGAATAGCTAATGTCAATTAAGGCTTAAAATTAGCAATTATGGTAGATGTCTTTTAGGGTTTTTTTTGTTTGGTTAGTTTTAATTGAGGCTTATATCTATAAACATTCAGTTCAACTGTAGTAGTTCAGACAGGGAAGTGTCTTTATGTGTGTGCATAATTTGGAGCTGTGTAACTCTCTTGAAAGAATTGCACTATATTCTTCCAAAGCTTTACTGTAGTGTTTATTTAATTATTCATATTTCATGGGTAAGGTCATCTTGTTGCAGTGCTTTTGAGCAACATAGTGGAAAACAGATGTGAGGGGAGCAGTTGTGTGAGTGGTTTGAAGTGTGTGTTTTTGTGTCCCCACTGTTCTAACAACATTTAGGTGAGAGAAGGTAGGTGAGCATAATTGTTGAGGATACAAAACTGCAGCATCAGTTGCCTTAATGTCAGCATTACCAAAGGGTCATGACAGGGGTATTTTTGTGCTAGTTGTTTGGTAGACCTGCCTGTTTCCCTTACTTCTCTCCTTGCTAAGTGGCGGTTAGTGATAGCATTTACATTACAGTTACAGCTCTCGCTTGTTATATATGGTGTAAGTGCAAAGGGAGGTTGTACTTCCTTAACAGAGATAGTATTCCAGACAGCGCATTGAGATTCAGTGAATACTAGTGCCCCTCTCTGTTCTCCCTTGCCACTTTATTAATTCAGTATGTATTCCCTTTAAATATGAAGAGGCAGACTTTTTGTAGACAGATGTTTTTTCTTCTAAATTTACCACTGTAGCTCTGTTCTCATTGCAGGCACAGCATTTTCCTTGTGTTCGTGCTCGAAACTGCCAGCATTTTGATCACTGCCAACTTGTGTTCAGACGCCAGGAAGAAGGGATAGATGATAACCAATAGGCTCCAACATGTTGTCAAAGCTGTGCTGCTAATTGCAGTAACAGAAAGTCTGAAGGAAAACAACATTATGGCACAGCTGTCCCAATTCTGGGTCACTCCTGAAACCAGAGATTTACATCGTACTGATGGCCAGCTCTTCACCTTTCAGGAAATCTTGACAATCTTGAGTAATGAAATATTTGTATGTTAGAGTGTTGTCAGTTTATTTTCTATACTATATTTGTTCCCAGAATTTTTGCATGTGGTATCTCCTTCATCTTTGCCAGTAGATGTCTGGATAATGAATTGTTTTCAATGTTAATGCTTAAAAATAAGTATAATAAGTTAAAAAATAAGTATAAATAAACTTCTGTGGAAATACTGTATTAAACAAGGGTACCACATGTTTGGAAAGAAGTACAAATTAGAATTTTTTGTAATGAATTGTTAGCCTCTATTTGTTTTCTGCATACATCTAATTTGCTGCCAAGTATAAAGTATATTTTATGAATATGTAACATGCACATTTAAACAGTCTTTCATGTTTTCTGATTTACCAATATAAGCAGCTCTGTCTTGTGGCTCCTGGAGGATTGGTTTTTCTGAGTACCTTACTCTGTCCTTAATTATTTTTGCTAGTACTTGTAGTTTTGTTGTCAGTGTCTTCATTATCCTTCACTTTTGGCAGGTCTGAAAATGACTTCTGGGCTCGTGTCACTGAGCTGTAGTGCAGACGCTGGGGGTGATACTGCTGCCATGTGGAACGTGGAAGCTCTGGACACAAACAGAGCAACTCAGCATATTCTCTTGATTTTGGTCAAACCACCTGGGGTATTTTTCTTCTATGTAAAACTTAACATACAGATCATTAATTCCTTCAAGGAATCAAGTTCATGAGTAAGTAACAAAAAGCCTTTGTAGCAAGTCATAGAAGCTTGATTACCATATAATACCAGAGAAGCAAGTGATAGATGTCACCAAAAGAAACAGAAGCATTAATCACCTGACTTCAATTGTCTCTGTCCTTAATGATGTTTTTGTTTCCAATTTGCTGCAAAAATCTGTGGAACTACTTGAATCATGTGAAACACATTATTCTGCTTTCTGAAGGGAGAGGAATGGTGGATTCTTTTGCATATGTGTGTGATTAAGCTCTGCAGTAGATGGTTATGTACTAAAAAAGTCTTTAAAGCATATTAAACTGGTTTCCTATCAAGCTAGCACTCTTAGCCTCTGAATAGTGAGCTGTGCTAATGTAACTTTTTATACATCAATTTTTATCTTGTCTTATATTCCAGTTGTTCTGTGCCTTCTGTTGTTTGGCTTTGTAGTACATGCAGCAGCCTTTTTTTCTTTCTTGGTTGAGTTCCATGGTATGAAATGTACCATACAGCTTCAGTGTAGGCAGTTTATTTTCTCTTGCACAGACACCGAGTACAAAAACATCCTAGCTGGACAGGCCTGAGAGGAACTGCCTCCTGCTGCTTCTTTCTTATGTTAATTTTGATTACATGCTTTCCCTTGGACATGCTTACTCGACGGAACAAAGAGATTTACAGTACACTGCTTTTCATATCAAGTAAAAATATGCTATAGAGAAGAAACTTTCAACTAGTGATGTTCACAGCTGCTCTCATGTTTTTAGTGCTTTAGCTGTACTGCAGTACACGGTTGAAGCATTTTCTGAACGAGTGCAAGAGTGGAAGGAGAACTGCCTTGGGGAATACTAAGATGTGAAATTCATTGTTAAGTATTACTCAGTTGTGCTGTTAGAGGTCTGCCTTTCACTTCAGAATTATTTATTAAAAAAAAAAAGGAAACAATTATGTTAAAGCTTTATGATCTCTTAGGTCAGTTCACTCAGTTTAGATTGACTTTGTTGCTGCAGGATCTCATCTCTCTTCGGTATGTATTTATAGAATCATAGAATTGCTCAGGTTGGAAAAGCCCTTAGAGATCGCTAAGTCCAACCACAACCTAACCATACTACCCTAACAACCCTCTGCTAAATCATGTCCCTGAGCACCACATCCAAAAGGTTTTTAAACACATCTAGGGATGGTGACTCAGCTACTTCCCTGGGGAGCCTATTCCAATGCTTGACAACCCTTTCTGTAAAGAAGGTTTTCAGGATACCCAACCTAAATTTACCCTGGCACAACTTGAGGCCATTTCCCCTTGTCCTGTCACCAGTGAGAAGAGACCAACCCCACTCTTGCTGTAAGCACCTTTCAAATATTGGAAGAAAGCAATAAGGTCTCCCCTCCAGACTAAACAGTCCCAGTTCCTTCAGTCGCTTCTCATAGGGCATATTCTCCAAGCCTTGTTGCCCTTCTCCTCAATGTCTTTTCTGTACTGAGGTGCCCAAAACTGAATACAGTACTCGAGGTGAGGCCTCACCAGTGCTGAGTACAGAGGCAGGATGAATTCCCTAGTCCTGCTCACCACACTATTCCTGACACAAGCCAGGATGCCGTTGTCCTTTTTGGCCACCTGGGCACACTGCTGGCTCATATTCAGCTGATTGTCGATCAGTATACCCATTTGCCCAGTACATTTGCCCAGAACAACAACAAAAAAAGTTACTTAGAGCCTTGGACACGTTAAGCATAAATCTCAATTACAGGACCTGTTGCAGTCTTGTTGTAGACTTGCCATTGTATTTCTCTTTCAAGCCCTGCATTTCTATGTTACACGGTCCAGTGCTTCTACCTTATTAAAGAGAAATGGTTATCCTCTGTATGATCAATAACTGTGACTTGTGATCTGCTCATGAGGAGGTAAGGAAAAAGCATGTTCCCAGCCTGCTGCAGCATCTTGCTTTCTGTTTGGCAAGGACCTCTGGCTAGCTCTGCATTTATATCTGAAACAAAAAGCAGAAGACAGCTGCTAAAACTTCCAGACACTTTGGTTCTGGAACAAAAGTACAGATTTAAAATGTTTTTAGACTGACACTTCAGAGGTTGTACTCTTCTTGAGCCTTCTGACCTGCACCAAGTGGTCTGGTTGCCTCCCACATGGCAACGTGAGAAGGTCAGCACTGCCTTTTGGTTGGGAGCAGGTGCTGCATCTGGACAAAGGTATGTAGGGAGCAGCATGCCTGAGGGGTGAAGGGATGTACATGGGCCACCTAGGCCTTCTTTCTGGGAGAGCAGTCCCTGGGGGATATGGGCTGTTTTGGAGCAGGTTGGCCTTTAGGACGATCCTTTGCATTGCTTCTGTACTCAGCAAGTTTGTAGGGCAGAACATTTGGCATGGTGTGATCCTCCTTAGATGCTAATTCTTGAAGTCCCTAATAGAAAGCAAAATCTCTAATAATAAGAAGAGAAGATGTATTTGAGGTTTTTTTTAATTTTATTTTTATTTTTGGATATGTCTTGCTCTCTGTTTTAACCAATGTTAGATTAAAATAAAGATGTTGTTTTTCTGTTCTTTTGGTGAATGCATATGACAATGTGATTTTCAAGCCACAATAGTTCTTAGAAGGTATTGGTTTTATTGGTGACAGCAAAAAGGTTACCTTAAAGATAAAAAGGTTATTTTACCAAATATACATGTTGATTTTCTTCCAGGGAGTTTGTAAATCTACAACAAGGTTTAGAAGATTCTGAGAATTAAGACTGTTTCTGGTGTCAAGCGGCCTGGAAGGTGGTGAATGGCATGTTGTCTCCTAGGCTCTGATGTCTCTGCCACCTGGTTTGTGCCGTTAAAAGAAGCAATACTCTAACAGCTTTTTGTATGTTTGTTTTCATGTGTAGAACATATCCAAGTATCTTATGACAAAGAAAGACCATGAACAGACCAGGTCTGCAGAATACTTCTCTGTCCTTGCATTTCTCTGCAAAGGCCCTGGGCTTGCACACAGTTCATTTTTATCCTTAACATTATCTGTGCATCTCTAGAAACTGCAACATCAGCACATAGGTGTTTATATAGGGAGCATCTTTCAGCAGCCCTCCAGAAGAGTTTCCTTGTGAAAGGATGTGCTCAAAGTTATTCTACAGCTTTGGAAACTTTCCAGTTTTATTTTTTTATTTTTTATTTTTATTTTGTAACCTAGTTGTGAAATGCTTGCTGTTGCATAGTGGTTGCTGGGGGAATGGAGCCTGGACTTGCCAGTTGTTCTAATTGCTGGATTCCTTTATCTGATGAGAGTTGATCCAGCATGCTTTTGACAGACAGCAAAAGATGGGGATGGCTGAAATAACCAGACTCTTTCTATGGAGTGAATTGACAAACAGCAAATCTAACAAAGGTCAAGGGTTGCTTTGTGGGACAGCAAGGTGTACTTCTCTCTTTGTGTTCCAGTTAGAAGGCATTGAAGGCTGTGGGTCTAAGCATGGAAAATTTACATCAGCTTTACTGTTGCTGGCAGCTGTTCACAGATTTACAAAGATTTTTAAACTTGTAATGTTATGATTATCTATATTATTTGAAGCATAAGATGAGCCACGGTGTTTACAGGCATTAAATCTTAACTTCAAGTCTTCAAGCTCCATCTCCATTTGCGAAAAAGAATTCTATTTTAGCTGTAAGTTCCAGTCTGGGCTTCCAAGAAAAAATAAGACAAAATCTATTGGAAACTGTAAGTGGAATATTCTAATGGTAATACCTTTGCTGCTGAAAGTCTGATCCTTTCTTCCATGTCATGATTCTGACCATCAATCTGCTGTATGCATTTGTCCAAGAGAAGAAACTTGAGTTCTCCTTTGCTTTGAAACTATGTGTGCTTGCCATTTCTTAACTTCCAGTTTTGGTGAGCTAAACAGGTAGTCCTTCTTACTTCCTGTTTACTGCAAAGAGTCTGTTTTCAGTCCTCTGGCCACTGGAATGACTATTTGAATTTCCTGTATTCTTTCAGCACTTTTTGTGGAGAGTGAGTGTCAGAACCAGCTGTAGTGTTTCTCCTTGCTGCTGCACCTTCTGCACTTTGCTCAGTGGAGTCCTTTGGTCACAGTGTCTAACCCAGGGCTTGTGCCCACCTGATGATCTTCCATCACCCTCTGGGCTTTACCATCTGCTGCTCTGCAGAACAGTCCTACATTCTATAAAGCATTTTCCTGTCTCTGACTATGGCTAGGTTGAGACACCATTTTACCTGCTTCCAGGTAGACTGTTTTCGAGGAGTTTTCATTATTTTTGTTGTTTGCTCAATGAAGCTTGTAAAGCTTATTTTACTAAGAGTTTAGGCTTCTTTTGTGTTTGCTGATAACACATTAAATAGCTCAGGCCTGGAAACACGTTCCTGTACAAACTCGATGAAAATATACCTGACAATTAATTTCTCAATTACATTCATTACAGTTAGCTTTAATTTCTTTACTGACTTGTGTTGCTTTAGAATCAGTTTAGCTCTCTGATCAATAGTGTGCAGTCGCTAAGCACACTGTATGCTTCTAGCTCTTAGTAAATTGTATCATCACCATCTCTTTTCAAGCCAAACTCGCTCCATTGTTTTTCTCTGGCTTGATGACACAATAGCAGGCTTACAATTTGATTACTCGTGCTTTGAAAATATTGGTATGAGTCTGGTGTTTTTCCAATATTCTGCAGCTTTCCTGGGTTTCAAAGCCTTATTAAAAATTGATATTGAAGGACAAGATGGCTTTTCAGCTTTCTTGGCGTGGAATGATCCCTCGAGAACACATTGCAGAGCCAACATCTGTGAAGGAAGAGACCTCTGCTCTGCAGCTCAGGAGGGTTAAATTACCCACTGCTGCCCCCAAGTCAGAAAGAAGGTCAGAGGCTTGTGCAAGGAGGCATGGCTTTAGTGAAGTCCCATTGCTAGTAAGCACACAGTACCCTGATGTGACCAGAAACAAATGAGCAGTTTTGGGAGCTCTATTTTAGAAGAAGAATAAAAAAGATCTGATAGTACAAAATGTAGTTTCTTTTTTTTTTTTTTTTTTTTTTTTTTCCGTAGCACTGGCCAAAGAGTGTAAGGCCTTTAACCATCTTGTGCTGCATTTTACTGTTGCAGCTGCAGTTTGCTCCTACTCCAATCTTCAGGCTTGGTTTGCACTCTTGGTCCTGCACGTTTGCTTTGCATCCAACAGCGTGTTCTCTGGAATGGAAAGTGTTCAAGTAATGGCCTTGTCACGTAACAGACTCTGAGTTATGTAATCCAATATTTCATGGGGTTTTAAAACTACCAGTGCACAGAAGAGAAAGCACTAAATGAAATGCCCGTGGAAGACAACGGTAAATCAGGTCATCTATTAAATTTTTCATCTCTTGAGTTTTTTCAAGCCCAGGAGCATCCTCAGCAGTGTAAATCTGAGAATTTGTGGTCTTAGAATAAGGAAATACTGGATGAGAAGACAATTATGAGACAGATAAACAAGCAGCTGTACCTCTTTCCCCTTATTTTATTTTTTTTCCAAGGCTATAGAAGAAGGAGTTTTTCTGGTAATGCTGACTGTGAATCCATCTTGGGTTTATCATTCTCCTTTCATATCCAGCTGATCGCAATTCATTTGCCAAATGGGAGCTGTTTCATAGCAGGGCTAATGCAGCTCAGACTGGAGTGCAATGATTTTGTTTAACAAAGAATAAACCTGTGCAAATGACATCTGAAGAAGAGTCTTTTCTCTTTCCTCTCTTCCCTTTTCCTCCCACGAATGCAGTGGTACAATCAAAATTAAACCTCCATACATGGGTGTAGCTCCCTTGCTATTGCTGGAAGTATGCTGACTCACACCAACAGAAAGCACAATTTCTGTGCTTTACAGTAGAGTTACTAATTTTCAGTGATTCTCCCTTGTTTTTAGTGGCTCAAGTTATTTTCTTGGGATGATATCTGGTAGCCTAATATATAGTACAGATAGGATGATGGTAATACTCTGCTGCCTGCTTTCTCTTCCTTGGCTTTCCATCTTATTTTCCCTGTACTGAAACTTTTTTGAGCACTTGGGCGGGCTGAAGGAGAAATTATTTTTCATGCTGTAAACCTGCTAGCATCATGCTGCAGAACAGGGAGAAAAAAGGTTCTGGTTCTGCTTCTGCTTCGCAATTAAAAATAAATGAAACGTGGAGTAATTTGTGTTACCTTTGTGTAACAGGGCATATGATGAAGCCTCTCTGTTTGCATTGCTAACTATCGGGAGCTGGCATGCTTGCTGTAGTTTGGGGTGATGCAGACTAGGTGGAGTAAAGCTGAGTCTGTGGGGTGAATAGCACAGGGCTGAGAAAACACGCCTGAGAGCAGTCTGCAGATGGGCGAGATAAACAGATCCCCCAGCTGCAACGGAGGAGGCAGGCCTCTTTAATGGCTCTTAGCAACGCCCCTGCTCTGACCCTCCTCATATGTGAGGAAAATCAAATCAATACACTGTTCTTCAAACCACGATGCTGCAGCAGCAGCAGGGCATTGTGGCAGCCTCTGTCTCTTAAATCCATTGACGCTTTTCAGGTTGCTGATCTGGATATCCATCCCCACATCTCTGCTGAAGAAGAACCTGACTGCATCTCAAAAGGATTCCTGGAGCTCCCATGTATAACCTTCTTCTTACTGGCAAGCATTAGGTAGGCAATTTTAAAGCGTTTCTGGATTTGCAGGCAGCTTGTAACATCGACCTGAGAACTCTATTATATTCTCTGTAATCACAGCAGAAGCCGTTCTCTGAAACCTACTCTGTTTAAATCTTCGTTTTCACCATCTGTTTTTGTTGTTGGGGTAGGGGAGGGTATTTCTGTTTTCCTTCTTCTTTTTTAAAAAGCAAGAAACGTTGTGGTTGATGTATGCTTTTGGAAAATGATATTTCCCTGCTGATCCCTTCCCTGCTCTGCAGAACAGCTATAAGCAGTGCCATACAGTGACTTTCAGTGTTGATGAACATCTGCTCAACTGCCTAATGTATAGGGCAGGCTGCTCTCGTCTTTATTCTCTAATTTTCCGGTGTCTACCTGACAGCTGCGCACCAAGACCTTCCCCACTAACTGAGTTCTGCTTTGGTTCCAGAGATGGCTAACAGAGGACCGAGCTATGGCTTAAGCCGAGAAGTTCAGGAAAAGATTGAACAGAAATATGACCCGGAATTAGAGTCTAGGCTGGCGAACTGGATTATCGTGCAGTGCGAGGAACAGATCGAACCCCCTCCTCCTGGAAGGCAGCATTTCCAGACCTGGCTCATGGATGGAACGGTGAGCTTACTGTTTAAATCTGTACTTGAGTATCTTTATGCGTGCAGTGAATTAGTATATATTACTATGTGTCCTTGTTTTCTGTCTCCATCCGGCGAAATTGGTCAGAGCTCATGGCCAGTGCAGAAAGAGGTGTCCTAGCATCTGACTGATTTCCTTTTGCTTGTGAACCCTAATCTCAGAAAAAAAATAATTATTCTGCTGGAGTACTGGGATTAGTACAGTGCTTATGATTCTTATGAGTCATGCACATTATATATGGGCATGACTCATTCCTTCAGTGCCTTTCCTCATGCAGTTAAATGAGATCTGCTTTTAAAATTAGATGTATAATTTTCTCTTTAAGAAATAGTATTTACAGAAAAAGAAAAAAGGTGAGCAGGTGTTGAAAAACTGTTTTCTTCTTGTGAATCATTCTGTAGCTATAACATTGTATCCCTTTGGTTTATTGAACAACAGGCAGATGCTGCTGTTTGCAGAGAGCTGTAGAAATACGCTAATCATTGAATCTCTGCCAAAGTGACTTCAACAATATTTCAATTGACGTTGCTTATTTTTTTGACTCGAGCATGTGGTTTCTTCTCTATCAGTTGTTACATAACTTACCAGTGATTGCTTTGCTGCTTCTAGCAGATGAGGATTTATTCGGTCAGGCTATTGCCATTGGTTAATGAAAGCTCTAATACCTTTCTAATATACTTTGACTATTATCAATCTCTTATTTGTTCCTGATAGAAGAAATTATGTCCCTGACAGAAACTGTCAAGATTGAAAGCATTTTACAGCATCATTTCATGTGCAGAAATTTCTTCTAGTTTGGTGACTGCTTTCTCATTTTGTTTCTGTGTTTCTCTCTCAGCTGTTATGCAAGTTAATAAACAGTTTACATCCAAAGGGAAATGAACCCATTGCAAAGATCTCTGAATCAAAAATGGCTTTCAAGCAGATGGAACAAATTTCTCAGTTCTTAAAAGCTGCTGAAATCTACGGAGTAAGAACAACAGATATTTTCCAGACAGTGGATTTATGGGAAGGTAAAAATAATAAACTGGAAGTCAGCTTGCAGTCTTCATTTCACTCTGCTTTGATGTGTTGTAATAGTGCATTTTGTCTAAGGCATATTCTCTAATGTAATTATCTTTTGTTTCTGTTTGCCTTATCTCATTACCATGTTCTTCCAGCGGTGCATTATCTCCTCTGAGGGATTTATATTACCCTGAGGGCATAATGGAGCTTTTCCAAGCTCATGTGTTATCCAAAAGCCCATCATTTTGACAGAAATCCACAGACCTAATAAAACAACTGCTTTCTATGCTAATTATTTCCGAGTAAATAGCTTCTGAGAGCAAATAGGGGAAACCCTTATTTTGTGATGACGAGCTTTTATTACAGTTTTCAAATTATAAGCAAAGCTTAAATTAGAGCCATAAAGCACATTCCCAGGAGCATACATGCCTCTGTAGAGCAGATGAGGCTCCTTTATGACTAGAGAGAGCAGAGCTCACTGCTAATGTGTTAGCTGGGTATCTCTCTGCAACAAAACAGTCTTGCCAGAAAAGTCACTATGGCAACAGCAAAAATCTGAGTGCCCTGTATATTCACCTGGAGGTGAATACTCTCCATCCCGGACATGAAGTGGACATTGTGTGTTGTAGCTGCCAAAGAGCTGAGTCATTTGAGTGTTTGCATGGCTGCTTTTGCCACCTCTGTGGTGATGCACTCTTCTGGTGCTCTTGTGAAATGCACTGTGTATCTTGCATCTCTCAGGACAAAATGCAGGAATTCAAAGCACAGACAGTGCCAGGGTAGTGAAAGGCAGGTGTACAGAGAACTGGAAGGGTCAAAAATCTGTTGTGAGAATGAAATGGTGGAAGGAGAGCAATCTATTGAGAAAGTCCATCAGTATCATTTGTGTAGGAACACAGGTGGAGTGAAAACACTGAGATCTGTGGAAGAGATCACTTCTTTCAAGGACAGCTTGAGGTATGAAACACAGGGGAGATCTTTGCAGATAGGTTAGAATGGGAGGATGTACTGACAGACTGCATTACTAGACTCTCAGGGTACTGGGTTTACTGGACAGATCTCACCTTCGGACGCAAGAGCTGGTTGTTTCTTCCAGGTCATCTTTTCGTAATTTTTCCAATCTACCTTTAAATATTTTAAATGAAAGGTTTTTTACTTCCCTGGTGTAACACCCTCTTCCTCAGCCTAGCAGGCTGTTGAAAGGGAAGCTCCATCAATACTAGAACAGATGATATTAGCTCATTTCAGGTGCTTTTGATTGCAGGCTTCTGCATTTCATAACACTTTTGCATAATGCAAATGAAAGAACAGTATGTCAATCCTTATGATGAAACGGACTTGCTTTTAAAGGCAGAGCTCTTAATCGTGGCTGCAATTTCTTCATTTTCTTTCTTTCACTCATCTCCATTCCTCAGCAGATATAAGGGGAAAAGCTGGTAACTTCCAGATGACAGAAAGTCAAAACACAACTTGCAGCCCAGGGGAGAGATGTACAGCACTTTTCTCCACTTTTATTTTAGGCCTTCCCAAAACTGATCTTTGTCTCTTCACTTCCCCATTCTCTTTCCATCCCTTATGCTGCTCATTAGAGTGCTGAGGTGAAGCAGCATGTGCAGGAGTGATCATGTGAGGGCTTCTTGTGCCTAACCATAGCTCTGATCTTCAGCATCAGTTTTGTTTTGAACCCGAATCATCAGAACTTTGACGCATTGGCTAGGCAGAAAGAACAGAATCTTTCATAATTACGTAACTTCTACACTTCATAAAATACTTCCAGGCCACAGTGTATTTAGACACGCAGTAAGCATCAATGTATGTTTACATGAAAAGAAAATTATGTGTGGCTGATAAAACAGTTTCTCTGTCACTGATTATTTTCCAAGAGCTTTTTTTGTTTTGAGATTCTTAGTAATGATTGATGAAAATGTTTTAGTACGCAATCTGCTGTTGGCTGTTTCAAACTCGCTCAGTCCATCTGGTGCATTTCTCAACAGCATCACCTCTCCTTTGGTCCTTCTTGAAGAGAAAGACTGAGCAACATTCCCTAGTCCATGCCCAAGAGAGCATGTTTGTTGTTTTACAGATAGCTCCCTGCCATATTTCCAGAGGGATAAGAGGCAGACGTAACTCTATAGCCCAGCCTGCACAAAAAATGTCTCGGAAATATGGTTCAGAGCAGTTCTCCCTCTGTGGGTCTCAGCCCTTCCTCTCTGGCCCTGAAGAAGGCCTTCTGGCCACACTTACCCAGAAAAAAAGGTAGAGATGTGACTGAGGCCGCCCCCCCCTTCTAATATGCCATTTCAAGACTATCTACAGGGCTTACTGCAAAAGACAAGAGGGTAGAGACACAAGATGAAGCAGATCTGGGGTCCTCCCTGACTGAGTGGCCAATGTGTGTGTGGGAGCACTGGGCCCCACTTGCAGTTGCCCTGCAGCCTCTCCCCTCGCCACCAAGAAGGGAAGCAGAGCTGAGTGCAGAGCATGGGGGAGGCTGCCAGATGGTTCCACCGGGCCCAGAGGGATATTTTGCAACCCATCTTTTGTTTCTTTTCTTTTTCTGTCTGTGTGTGTGTGCTTGCTGTCGTTATTCAGCTTATTCACTTTTAAATCCTTTTTCCACATCTCTCCTCATCCCCGATTGTTACCTCAACGGGCATCCCAAGGACATTATTTGTGGCATCTGTTGAGGCGTATGGTACATCTGCTGCTGCGGGGAGCTCCGAGCGTCCCGCCCCACGCTGCTCCCTGTGTACGTGCTGGTGCAAGGGATCGACCCTCAGCTGCCCTCCCTCAAGTAGGGACCATCTGACACAGTCTGGTTAGCAAACACGGGCACAGGAGGATCTTGGATGGCTGACGATTTGTTTTCTGTACAAACGGTCCCCTGCAGAGAAGATTCCTGTAAACTGTAATGGGCTATGTGACAGTCACAGCTGGAAGCCTCTAGTCATTTTCAGCTTTAGGGTGTCTCCTTCACCTCAGCCAGTGCTTTATGCAGTGAGGTCTGTGTGAACCAGAGCCCCGAGCTTCATCCACCTGTAAGCAGGGTGATGCTTATACATTGTGTGCTAAGCTCCTTTCCTGTGCACTCCTGCTGGTCTACAGTGCTTTTCATTAACACTATTCCATGGGAGGCATTTCTGGAGTCTGCTATCATAGTCATATCTTGAGCATCACATGATTTTGTGAGTAACTTATTTCCCCATATGAAGAACTTGCACTCAAAATTAGTTCCTTTAAATAAAAAGGTGATTTTAGGAAAAAGGAAAAAGTGGAACAGAAGGAATGCATGGGAAGATTTCCAGGGCATAGGATGGCTTGTGTTGGAGGAGACCTCAAAGATCATCTAGTTGTGACCTCCTGCTGTGGGCAGCATTGCCAACTGCTGGATCAGATTGCTCAGAGCCCTATCCAGCCTTGCCTTGAACAACTATTTCCATTTTCATTAGAGAAGAAAAAAAGATATATGAAACAAAATTTCCAAAAACTTAATCACCTCACACCATTGCAAAGACGTATGACAGCTCCTAGTGAAGTAGAGTTCTTGCTAGAGAGTTTTCTAAATATCATTGTGTTTGAGTTGGGTAATCAGATAGAACCTGCCTGTTTCTATTTGTTTGCCTGATGTTCTCTGCTCTTTTCACACCAAGCAGCAAAGTGCAGGAGTACCTTCATTTTTCCAAAACAAAAACAAAAACACACACAAAGAAAACCTCACTTGTTTTTTGTTTTTTTTTTTAATTTTTTTAATTAAGTGGAGAAATAAACAAAAGATGTTGATAAAAAAGGAAAATTTACTTGTTACCTTCATTTTGGAAGGAAAGATCAGAGGAGTGGATACTATTTTTTTAAATAAAAACAAATAGTGACAACAGGAATATCAACATCTTTTGGAAATGAGCCTTATATATCAAGGTGCCATCTTGGAAACTTGGTGAATTCTCAAGCAGGTGGAAAGCGTACATCTAGGCAAGTAATTGACAAGTCCATCACCTCACAGTAAAGATGGGAAATCATCCCCTGAGAAGCTTTTTCTCTCTCTGTTGTTTATGGAAGAACGTTAACAAGCAGTGAAGACCAGGTATGGAAATTTTACTTCACAGGGGAGATGAGCACTGGCATTTTGAAATGAAGAATCAAGTGTGATAAGATAAGGAGGGAAACTGTGGAAGAATAATGTAAGTTAGGACTGGATGACAGCAACTGAAGAGCATCAACTTTTGACAGTCTGTGAAGGGAAGCCAGTAGGAAGGATTTGGGAAGTGATTTGATTGGTAATTTGGGAAAGGGTGATGCTAGTTAATCTGCACGAGTCATTTCCAGGACTGCCAGGAACTCTGTCAGCATGAGGACTGTCTGCAACTGCCAGTGGTTACATGATGGAATCAGTTTACAGGTGAAGTAGCAGAGGCACAGCACAGTTATTTGTCACATTGCTCTCCTTCAGCCATGTTTTACTGAGCACATTATCATTCTTTTTATGCCAAAGTGTTCTCTTCTTATTACAAAATTTAGAAGGGCTTAAAATAGCGAGGGTGAATGCATTAAAATAGCTTTGAAACTTGAAAAGTCCCAAATAGTTAAATTTTGTTTTAACACTGTTTCTTTGATAATCTTTTTCATAATCTCTTGCATGTCAGCACTTCAATTTGAGCAACTCTAAAATAGCACTTAAAATGCTTCTAATGTACTTTTTCAGAGTAACCAAGGGAAGCAGTTAATGCATTAGATGAAGGCATTGATCAATGTGCCAAGCTATTTGTTATGTGAGGATTTCTTACACTGGTTTTGCTGTTTGCCTTTCCAGGGAAGGACATGGCGGCAGTGCAGAGAACCTTAATGGCTCTAGGCAGTTTGGCAGTCACCAAGGATGATGGATGCTACAAAGGGGATCCATCCTGGTTTCACAGGTAACACCCAAAGCACAGTTTCCCAGAACTGACTTTCATGGAAAGCTGGTATTATTGTCTGTTCTTGGCCTTTGAAGAAATTTAGTGGGGAAGGAAAGAAAGAATTTTTGCAAAATTTCCTTGTAGTGGAGAGATTTTCTCTTTGGAGTGTAGAGTACAGGATCAAATATCCAACCAGGCAGCAGCACTTTCTGTCCTTCACTGGTTCCCAGCATATCAGCCTCTGCCTAACTACATCTCATCAGCCTGAAGTTACACCAGGGCTGCTGAGGAGGAGCCCTGTAGGAGGGGTGCAGTGCTTCCATGCAGCTCCCTTTTCTCAGGTAGTCCTCTTCAGCTCATCTCACATGTCTCTCCTGCCCTGGAGCTGGAAAAGTACTATTGCTGCCAGGACTAAGCAGCACCTCACCCATGGCTGCAGCTCTGAGTTCTGCCTGCAGGCACCCCTTTATACTAAGCTGCCCTGGTTTGGACATCTGCGCATATATAGAGATGCTACTGGATTTCTTTCTTAGCCATTTTTTTTTCTTGTGGAGTAACACTTATCTGCAGAGAATTCTCTGTCTTGAAAAAGATGTTTATTTGCTCTAAAGCCCCATTTGTTTTGGTTAGGGAGGCTGAGAAGAAGGGCAGAAAAAAAGGAAATCCTCCTAAAGTTACCCCTCTTGTCCCACAGACATAGTGTTGAAATGAGGTTCCTCTACCCAAAAGTATTTCTTATGCTAAAACAGCTGAGGCATGTTAATGAAAAGAGTGCTGCCTGCTGGTCATTGGTTTCCCTGAATTTTCTGATAATTAGTTGAGTATCAGCAAGCAAACTTTGCTTATCTTAAAGTTTGAGGTGGTTTAACAGAGGCTAAAGGAGACCTGAAGTTTAGGTGAGCAAGTGTCAACTCCTATACATTCTTCATGTGGCATTCATTTAAATTTACTTCATACAGTCCTCAAAGAGATTTTTACTTCCTGAATATAATAGGTTTTTAAATTTAAATCCAGTTACATGCTTTAATTTAAACCAGACATGAATTCACCATGACCCAGACAGGCTTACTTGTTTTATGTAACTATAACAAACTATAACTATAACAAATGGAAACAAATGAAAAATTAATTTTCATCTCTGCTCTTAATTGTGGATGGAATAGTTTTTGTTGGCGTACTTGAAGATCATCTCCCTCCTTCCCTGACTGTCTGGGCTATATGGACAGCCAGCCTGTGTCTACTGCAGTCCCTGAAAGACTGTTTTATAGCTGCTGCCTTCAGGAAAACTGCTATTTCTATAAGGAGATAACATATGGCAGACTGGGAGCTACTTTCTGAGTAGCTTAAGAACCCCTTCAGGCAGACCAAGCCCTCTCCCCATCACCCAGCATTATTCATGAGTCAGAGAATTCAGACTGATTCTTAATCGCTTTAAGTTAAACTGAAAGATGTCAAGATTAAATGGAACAAGAGTATCCACACAGGGATCAGCAGTGATCAATACATCCCCACATATGGGCAAAGCTGCTTAACTTTCCATTGCCTGTGTCTTGCATGCCTGCTTCCATGGGCCTGGCTCCTCTTTCACTGTGTGTCCTGGTGAGGCTCATGGATCCACTGCTATTTGTTATCTGTGAGTTGGAAGCCTCTGGCTCTGGTGCAGAGTTGGCATGAAAAGTTAACAAGTCTGCACAGTGACAGAGAGAGTGCTGTTGAGTGATGGCAAACAGGTCAAAGACAACTTGTAGCAGTGTGAGATGCTCTCACCTTCTTTTCTACAGCCTTGATTATGCCTGTTTCCACCAGCCTAAAAGCAAATCACAAGTACCTGCTGTTATCTATAAGACTATCATATTCTAAGGGCAGCATTTATGATTGTAAAAATAACACCATATGATCCAAACAATACAAATAATTAACTTTTATTAGCATATCCTTGGTCTCTTCTTAAATTTTTTCTTTGCAGTTCTCATTTTTCTTTCCTAGTCATACTTACATATCAACTTCCTCTGGATTTACTCCACAGCACAGCTGAAAAGTCCAAGGAGGAAAAAAAAAGGTAGATTGTGTTTCTGAGATTTTAATTAAAATAGAGACAGTCACAGTGAACCTGAGATTCAATTACGTAATAGGAGTAGTCCCAAAAACATCCTCTCTCAGAGATACCGACAGCGGTTTGCTGCCCACATAAGGATTCTGGAAAAGAAATTTTGCAGCAGTGAGATAGAATTGCTGTATGAGGTTCACAAAACTCTGTGTGCCTGCCTCCAAAATGGCAGTTGGAAAGATTAGTGCAGTGAAAAAGTACAAGATACAAGAATGAAATGGCAAAAGGGATAAAGAGGAAAAGAACACTCCCTTCCCCCATCTCTAAAGATCTAGGCTTACAGGGAAAACTCCTCAAGGAAAGGATCTCCAACCAGAGATCCTTCTTCAGTGCTGGTCAGCTCTTAAATAAGGTCTAAGAGAGGTGCAGCCAGGCTCCACCCCTTCTGGTCACACAGCTGAATTGCCTTCACCTGTGCTCCCAGGGCTGACATGGTCCTTTCCCCAGATCATCAATCAGTGGTTCAGGATGTGACTCAACAGTTCCCATACACATGCTTTCTGGAAAGAGCCTGTGGTAGGCTACCATAAACCCTCATACTCATCTGTACATTGGCATGGGATCCATTCTTGAAAGATCTGAAGTGCTCTTCTGGACTTGAGCTCAGCCACTGCACAGGATCAGACCCTCACAGAGAATTGTGTTGATGGCTTTCAGTCACAGGAGGCACCCAAACTAACATTCCCATCTTGTGATGGAGTGAGGAGAAAAGCAAATTGTAATGTGATGTTATATTGCTAGATAACCTGATGCCAGGACAAACAGACACAGATGGCAGAGAGATTGTACCTGGATGGGAGCTGGCTGAAAGCCTCCCTCTCTTTGAGATTGTAGGTTCTTGCCATTTATTTGACAGCAACAGATTGATCCTTTTCCCCTCTAAATGACTTGTTTTCCCCTCCTTGTGTAAATGAAAGATTAATCAAGTACAAACTTTTGTGCTTCTTTTTTTCCCCAGTGCTCTTTTCAGGGAAAAGAGGCTCTTTTTAAGGCCCAACAAAGATTCATTGATCTAGATGGCTTTTGAGACTGCTAATGCCAAGCAAAAGTGGTCAGTATGTTTTGGCAGAAGATAAAGGATTATCATACAGTTAAGACACAGGTGCAAAGGCCAAAGTCTATTGCTTTTGAGTAGAGAGATCTGGAAATGGCAACAGGGCAATTGTTCTGTCCTGCAGGCAACCATCATCCACACTTGTGAAAATGAGCAAGCCACTTTGCTGTCCCTTTGGACAATGTACCCCTGGGTACATTGTGCTCACACTGACTCCACTGAGTTGAATGTATACCATTGCTGTAGACAGATATCTATTTGTACTACAGCACGGATAAGTATCTTAGTGATCAGATCCCATAGACTACAGCTTCTAAGAGCTATAGGACAAAATACTAACTCTATCACAAGTGGTATACACAGCTCTACATAAATATTTTACCTAATGTAGTTGCTGGGCAAGCTATGATCCTGAAGGTTGTGAGTAGGTGGTACAGCAAAAGACTGAAGTGCTGTGGGTTTGAAGAGAGCACTTCTAACTGCAGGAAAGCAATTAGCCCAGCCAATATTGTTCACCCAGTAGGATGGTGCAAATTAAATACTGCAGTACATGGGGAGGAGCTGTTAACATGAGCCAATTTCAGATTGCTTTTCACAATCATCTGGACATATGCAGAATGTCTGTATTGTTTTTTTGTATGCACCTGTACAGGAAAGCACAGCAGAATCGACGGGGGTTTTCAGAAGAGCAGCTTCGTCAGGGACAGAACGTAATAGGCCTTCAGATGGGCAGCAACAAAGGAGCCTCACAGTCGGGTATGACGGGCTACGGGATGCCAAGGCAGATTATCTAAAAGCACCTCTGTCTGTAGAGAAAACACTCCTGCAGCATGGTCTGTTCAACAACAACAGAAAAAGAAAAAAAAAAAGCTCATTAGTTCTCTTTCTGCCTGGTTTTAATAGTTAGTGCTCTGAGGTGTGGGGTATTTTTGGTTTGGTTTGTTTTATTTGCAGCTACAAGAGTTCATCTAGGAACTTGGGTTTTGTGGTGTTGTGTGTCAGTTCACAGCACGTGCGCACTGCTGCCTCCTACTTTTCACTTCTGAACTATGCAAAGACAATTATTCTGTATTAATTTATTTGCAAAGTGTTATCTTCCATATTTGTCTCACACTTCTCTTGTATCTCAACCAGTAACCTCGTTCTTCAATTCAGTGATGACATTGTTTGATCCAAGAATAAAGACATTAAAACACATCTTGGTCTCATTTTTTTGAAGGAAAGAAAAGCAATTTGAACCTCATAGCATGGTACAATGTTGAGGGGTGACATGTTTGATGGCTCAGTCTTTCTTGCCTCTAACTCCATCCCAGCCAAAGCTGGTAGAGCCAGCAGTGAGTCTTCATGACAGCAATGCAATCCTCAGAGAGTTCTTCACTTTTAAAGGAAAATCTGTCAAACAGAGGTGAAAACAGCTTTTACTTTGTGATAATTGATGTTACATCAAACAAAACACTGCAAACTAAGGTGTGTTTTAAGCTCACCAGAGCATTCACCTGGCCATTAGTGCACATCATACATATGCTCAGGGGGCATGCTATTTTCTCAGCAAGTTTCTTTCCTATTAAGAATTAACTTGCAAATCCCAATCATTTCCTTCCTCTAAGCAAGTAGGAAGGGAAATGAAATAATCAAACTTTCTGAGCTTTTAAAATTTATAACAGAATTCCAAGAAGGCCTGAAGACATAACATCTGGAAAGCTAATAATCTGTTGTGAGGGGCCTACACAGAAGTAATGATGACTTCTGTTTGCCTCATGCTGCCCTGGGTCTGAACCTAGTGACCCCCAGTGGCAGCTAGTTGCCCACTAACTAGCCCTGGAGCCAGTGGCACACACACTGCTTCAGAAATTTCTACTGGTGTGTAAACTGGAAGGGTAAGTCTCCCATCCCAGGTTAAGCTCTAGCCTACTTGTCAGGAGTGTGGGAAAAATACCTACTCACTTAATTCAAGATTTGGTGAAGCTTGATAAAGCACTGCAAGTGAGAAATGATGTAAAGGTCACCACATGAGCTTAGGGCTGAGCTAATCTATGGTAGCTGCTGCTAAAAAAAATCCTGCCCCCATTTGTAGCTTCTCTTGAACTACCAGGGCAACCTGGTTCTTTCTCTCTGCTCTTGTCGAGCACTTTACTTTGGTGTTTGCTACCTGCTTAGGGCTATCTTCCTATTACTGAGGTGAAATAGCTCAGTACAGAGGAGGTGTTTGTCTGAGATGGTGTATTTAGGGCAAGAACTCAACCTGCAGCTGTAGCAGTTTAGCTTGGTGCAGTTTATAACATATAACCTAACTTGCTCATATATACCACACTGGGCATATTATACCTCCTTTTGATAAGGCACCCTCATCTGGGAGAATACGAAAAGCAGCCACCTTCTCCTAACAGAGACTAGGAAGTTGCAGTTAGTACAAACAAAACAGCATGCATTCTTATCAGATAGCTGGGAGGAGCTGGAAAACCTGCCATGTAGGCAAGAGAGGCTCTTAGCCTCTCCCACACCATTCCTGAAAGTACACAGCCTGCAGAAGCCGGCTCTGAGCTGGCTGATCTTGATCTCTCTGTTTGAGAAAGCACAGGAGCCTGGATGAATTCTGTGATCCTTTATTTTCTGCCTGCATCTACAGTTGTTGCAATAAGGTAAGTTCCAGTGTAAGAAAGACTCTGCCTCTGTGAAATGTTCCTTCACCAAACCTACATTCCCTAGTTAAATGTGCTTTTGTTAGGTTTGGCATTTGAACGGCCTCACTGAGGTTACAGAAAACACTGTATGCTTGTGCAACAGAAACATGGTATGTTTAACATGCTCTGTATAGGTAACAACAGCTTGTGCTATAGGAAAGAAAATCTGTATCCTGTGGTGTATGCATAGTGTGGCAGCATCATTGGAAAGCCATAGCTGGAATGTTATCCTGGAAGGCTTTCCCCAGCTCACAGAACCCTCTTTCATCACCTGAACGGCCCTAAAGTTGCACTAGGGAGATTTAGTTTGGATATTAGGAAAAATTTCTTCTTGGAAAGAGTGATGAGGCATTGGAACACATTGCCTAGGGGGTTACTGTCTCTGGGGATGTTCAAGAAAAGGGTTGATGCCGTATTGAGCAGCATGGATTAGTGGGCATGCTGGTGATGGGTTGATGGTTGAACTAGATGATCTTCAAGGTCTTTTCCTACGTTAATGATTCTATGATTCTAAAGCCATCAAGCTAACCTATCTATTAATATCTGGCAGGAGATGCTCCAAAGGTTAACTTTATCCTTTTGTGTTCCCATATGATGATGCCAAAATGCAAGCATTATTATTATTTAAATATTAACATGTTCTGACTTATTTACATCCTTCTATTAAAATGTGCTTCTTAACAAGTTCACAAACATCTTAAGCTAAGAAGTAAATTAGTACAGTGCAAGGTGGTTGAATAACAAAGATGACAGGAAGGAAATATGGCTTTTCTTATACTAACAACAAACTGCTGTAAGCTTGCTTCTGTTGCATTAAAAGCACTTAGGTGGGTCTCCCACAAGCCTCATTAATCTCTATGACAACCTTATGTATTGTTCCTGCTAAAAGGCTGAATATATATTAGAAATGTGTTAGTGTTGTCAGTGGTAGAGATGTACTCAACAAATGTCAAACACTGCACGTGCATTGGATATAATTATGCTTGTGTTCAGTGATTCATGAGTTACAGAGAATGGAAAGTTCTGAGGTGGCATGGTATGGGGCACGGGGGCTGAAATGTGAGCAAAATGTGAATTTTGTTGCACAAAGGGAGGAAGTGCATGAACCTTGAGTAGATACAGTGCGGTGTAATGGTGTGCCTGCCATGTAGGTCTGTGTTTACTGTAAGCTACAGGGCTGAACTGCATCTTGCTTCAGGTGTGGGTTCAGTTTAATGGCAAGTATGAGCTAAGGGAAGCCCACTCCCACGTTGCTAATGGCCCTTCTTGAAGCACAGCCATAGCTTAAACAGTGATCTTAGCTTAAAAGCAATACAAAATATTTCTGTAAGCAAATGCTTATATATCAACGCCCAACAGCAGGCTGGGCCAGAAACACTGTTAGCATTGCCATTCTGTGCTTCAGTTTGCTGCAGCAGTAGAAATGTGAATAGTATGTATCTGCCTTCATGAAGGCTTTATGACCACGAGCTCATTACAGACAACTATTTAATCATTCCTTTTTAATGGTAAGGTGATCTCTTATGTCCTTATGAAGGGATGTTCTATAGGCATCCACATACCTGAGTGTGGAATCTGAGTTCATCCCCATTTATAATGAGAGATGGAAGAAAGTAAATAAAGTCAATGTTAGGTTCAGTCAGCTCAATTAAGCCAGAGCTTGAGGACTGTTAGGCTAACATAACAGGACACGTTTTAAATTAAAAGGAATGAGGGTGCACATCATGAGGAGACCTCACTCTTCAGTAAATCTGCCTGTGGCGTTGCTTTGCAGCATGCCTCTGCTGAAGATGATCTGTTTCCCTGGCTGCTGAGGTCAAGACAAAGCTACAAGGAAGGAAGGAAGGATAGTGGTTCAGTGGCTTTTGTTTCTGTGTTTTTGTAATCAATCGTATTTGGTTCTGCCTGCATTATCTGAAGTTGTTGCCTGTGTCTGTCTTGTGTGATAGCAAGGCTAATACTTAATAAGGATAGGCACAAGCAGGCCACTCAATTGGCCAAGAAGGCCAGTGGCATGCTGGCTTGTATCAGAAATACTGCAGCCAGCAGGAGCAGAGAGGTGATCGTTCCCCTGTGTTCAACTCTGGTGTGGCTGCATCTCAAGTACTGCATTCAGTTTTGGGTCTGTCACTACAAGAAAGACATCAGTGCCCTGAAGCATGTCCAGAGAAGGACAACAAAGCTGTGAAGGGTCTGGAGCACAAGTCTTAAGGAGAGCAGCTGAAGGAACTGGGATTGTTCAGTCTGGAGAAGAGGAGGCTCAGGAGAGACCTCACTTCCCTCTACAGCTGCCTGAAAGGAGGTTGTGGTGAGGTGGGGGTTGGCCTCTTCTCCCATGTGGTGACAGGACAAGAAGAGATCACACCAGGGGAGGTTTAGGTTGGATATTAGGAAAAATTTCTTCTCAGTGGTGAAGCATTGGCATAAGTTGCCCAGGTAGGTGGTGAAGTCACCATCTCTGGAGGTGTTCAAGAACTCTGTGGATGTGGCACTGAGGAAAAAGGTTAGTGGGCATGGTGGGGATGGGCTGATGGTTGGACTAGATGTTCTTAGGTCTTTTTCAACTTTTATCATTCTATGATTCTTGGATTGGTGAAATGGCAATATATCCCAATAGAAATGAGCTTTACATGTGTTGAGAAGGCCAGCAAACACACTGCACTTAGCCTGCCCTGTGGCAACCTTGTTGTTTTCCAAGGCAGGGAGCAAGGGCCTGAGGTGAGCACAGCAGATCCCCAAATGCACAGGGAGATGAACCAACAGTTATGTCGGCATGTATCTCTGGTACTCAGTGTGTTTTTGACAGGCAACCTGTGTTGTTCTTGTCAGGGGGGCTTGCTGCTCTGAAGGAGAGGCCATGGACACAGGTAAAAAACAAGCTACTCCTGGGGAAGTGTGCACAGCAGCCACATCTCCTGCTATTTAAGCAGTTTAATTGCTTAAACTTCACAGAGGTTGTTCCTCTCACCTGAATTCACAAATAAAAACACACCATTCAGTGACTAAGCCCAAGCTATAGAAATTCATGAGGTAAAACAGGAGAAAAGAAAGATATTAACTGTTACAGTGTGGGAAAATCACAGCCTTGGATGGAAGGCAGTTTTCATCCTGCCATGTTCATGTGACAGTAAAACGCGTGATGCTCTGACATTCACGAGAATATATTGCACTGTTCCTCAAATACAGAAACAAACACATCTGTCGTTTCATTGGATTTATTAAAGAAATTAGTGTAGTGACCTTTCTCCCCAATGAAATTTCTCTTAAATGGCTCACTTCAGAAGAAATGTTACTTGGTGAGTAAGTCCTGCACTGCCCTGCAGCCTGAAAGGCAGGGTAAAGCCTCACACACCAGGTTGAGGAGTGCTGCTCAGCATACAGAGCAATCCCTGCTCTGCCCTGGTTCATGGAGCTGGTTCACACAGTGAGGGGAGACTGCATCCAAAGAGAGGAGGGCATGGCTGGATGCAGGCCATCAGATACAGGCTGCTGAGCATCTCCAAACCCCACTGTAAGAAAGAGAGCACTCTGTCAATAAAGATGGAAGACGGATGAGAGCTTTTGTGTGTGCACAATCGGCTAAATATCTTGTTTATCGTATTTTTTTATTATTAACGCACAGAAGGAGAGAAGGAAGAACACGTGTAGAGACTGTTTTCAGGGGTTGATTTTACAGCAGCATTGTGATGAGTCAACACTGCGTGCTCAGTGTCTTTGGATCAGCTCCCACGCATAACACAGTGTAGGTAAAGGGCAACTCTGCCGCTTCCAGTTCCTTTTGATAGATGTTGTTTCAACCCAGCTATTAAATATATTTGAGTGCCTCAGCCATAGACATACCCTAACACCACAGAGCTACTGTGCACCTGACTGGTCTTTGCAGGTTTGGCCCTTGGTAGAAGTGGGCAGTAGTACTTCCCCAGCATGCAGATACTTTCAGTACCTAAAGGGAGCCTATAAACAGGACGGGAGTAAACTCTTTGAAAGGGTAGATAACAGCAGGACAATGGGAAATGGTTTTAAGTTGAAGGAGGGAAGATTTAGGTTGGATGTCAGGGTGAAATTCTTTACTATGAGAGTGGTGAGGTGCTGGAACAGGCTGCCCAGAGAGGTTGTGGATGTCCTGTCCCTGGAGGTGTTCAAGGTCAGGTTGGATGGGGCTGTGGGCAGCCTGGTCTAGCATTAAATGGGGAGGTTGGTGGCCCTGCCTGCGGCGAGGGGGTTGGAGATTCGTGATGCTTGAGGTCCCTTCCAACCCAGGCCATTCTGTAATTCAGTGAAAAGGGCCATGACAATACATGTCTGGCTGTGAAGTGCTTGAATGCCACAGCAATGTTATTTTTCTAGCTGAACAGAAAAACTTTTGATGCAAGGAGAAAAATCAATATTTCAGGAAGAGGTTTCGAAGGCTTAAGTGGGATATCGAAGGAATTTGTGCTGGGAGTGATAGCCATCTCCTGATATCCTCTATAAGAACCTTTTGCCCTCATCTGCCACAGCTGCTCAGATGAATCAAGCAGTATGGCACCATTGTGGTGGGATTATTAAAGCAAATAAGCTTTTCTTGAATCCCCCTTCCTCCGATTAGTGTTTGAGAAAAGGGGATGCAGCTGGGTGCCCAAGCAACCAGCTGGAGAAAGTTGTGCTGGTGAAAAGGCAGAGACTGAGCTGTAGCCAGGTGGATTTGGTTGTAAGATTACATGAAGGAACTGCAGTGAAAGGTTTAGTCGTTGCCTTAGGAAAGATAAGGAAAATTCAGGCTGGTGCACATCACCTGGGGAACATTCTACCATCTTATTGTGGAAGGCTTTGCTCTGAGGCAACATCCCTTCAGCAGCTCAGCGTGGCCAGAAGATGCTGGGAATGCAGAAAAGCAGCTTTTAATCTTCCTTGGCTGCTTGCTAGTAAATGTATCTTATTGCTGGATGGTGATGGAGTAGACATTAGCCAGGAGCAGTGTGGCTGTTGCTGAAAATGGAGCATGTGGGAGTGGGGCTGTGTGAAGGCATCTGTCCCCTGAGCATGGCTAGTCCATGCAGGAGCTGCTGGGGACAGCTGGGCTTTAGGGAAGGCTCATGACCAGCCTGTCTTGCCTGCCTCCACCAAGGCCATGGCAGGAAGCCTTAGGGGTGGCTCCCAAATCCCAGAGAATATTTTTCAGACCTTTATGCGTTCTCTGTCTCTTCATGCATGCTCTATCTCTCATATATAGGGATGTACTCTTTAGGATGTTTTTCAGAGTAATTAGGAAGTATTTCTGCTTGGGTCTCCAAAAGTGAGTTGCTTAAATCAGTGGTTTTTTGGAAGTGTATTATGCAGTCTTGGAAGTCTTGCTTTCAAAAAAAAGTTACTTTCTTTTCTGCTGTGCAATGTTCAGTTGTGTTCATCCTTCCCTTGGAAGTGTTACCACAGTCTGAGCTGCTTTGTGAGGTGCCAAGTACAAAGAATGGAACATGTATAACATTTTTCATTAGTAAGTCAATTTATTGCCATACCCTGTCTCCGAATGAAGAGAATTATTATGTGAAGGTCATTGTTGTGGTATATTTCTGTGTTTTCTGTATACAAACTCCTGTTAACAGTTGACTCAAAGTAAGTAGAGAAAAAAAATGTAGTACATCTGTTGTGATTGATTATTTTCCTTTTTAAATTACTTCTCTCTGTCATTTTCATTTTATATACTTGGTGTAGGATGAGCACCAAAGCCAAAATTAATGTTTACAACAAGATTCATATGAGTCTGTTTTATAAAATGACACCATGAATAATTAAAGTGTTTTTGTGTTGTTTGCTTTTTTGAAGCAGCATTGTAAAATAAAAGCAAGCCATACAACTGCAGTGTCACTGAAACAAGCTGTGTATGTGAACTTCACTTTGACAGAATATGTTCTGTATTTAAAATCTCTGCCTCTGTGTAATCTGATGAGTCCCTGAAGAACTACCTTTTGCAGTTGGTCTGTGAATTACACTTCCACCACAGTCAAATACATCCAGGCAAATTGGATTATGAGATGGAGATAAATGGGCCCAGGGAGCATTTAATTGGGGGAGGGATGATATTCATGTCCTTCAGCTGAGTACAAATGCTGTCTCCTATAAAAGTGAGAGGTATGGAAAGAAGTTCAGTTCTAAACGTCCGCTTTCTTTAAGATGCTGTATTCTACCTCTAATGGGGTTGAATTGTAAACCTCAAGGTTCATCTAGAATGACTCTTTAGTTTTGAAGAAAATTGGTTTCAGCAAACGTTCACCACTTCATAGCAATTCTGAAATAAAAGGAACAATTTAACCTTGTGTTTTCAGACAATATTCTCAAAATTGTATTGTTCATTTAATCTGTTTTCAAGGTATAAAATGCACAATTAAGGCCAACTGAGAGTGGTGAGCATGCCTTAATCTCCAACGCTTTTTCTTGCAGTGCCATTTTTAGAGTATCGGAATCTGAAAATGGAGGGTGGGGGCAGCTGGATTTCTTTTGCTTGCTTGCAGTGCTGAGGTGAGTGGTGTGCTACAGACTATACACTGTGTGGATAGCAAAGCCTGGATAGAACTGCAGGGATTGTGATTCTCATAAATGGGGGATGATGCACGCAGTGCCCAAAACAAGCAAAGAAACCCAAGGTATTTTTGATTTCTGGACTCCTTGTTTCAGGCCTGGAAAGGTGAGAAGAATATGGTTTAATAGGAAACAAAAACCTAAAAGCAAATATTCTATGCCTGCTACTGAAATGCCTGTTTTATGGATGCAGTAGGTCATTAGGAAAATAAATGCAATTAGAAAGTAAATGAATTAGAAGAACAGATAGATTTGAAATAGTCTCTCCAGTGAGGAAGCTTGAAATAGCCTATGAAATACAGGGGAAGATAGGCAGAGGAAAAGATGTTTCGAGGGAAATAGAGCCAGAGTGGAAGGAGAGGGGAATCAGCAGCTGTATTACAAAAAGGAACATCCCTTATCTGTGTCAGGAGGGAGTGAATGACCTTTTCAGACAAACATGAATCAGTCAGATTTAAAGTCATCAACATCACTCCTGCTGTCATCGCAGGTCACCAAGGGTCTTGAATTTTAGTTGTCTCTTTGGTCAGTGCTCATATATTTTCAGATAATATTGATGATTTAAGCCTATGAATAACAAGTGAAGGTGAAAAGTCTGCCATCTTGTCTGAGAATGAGGGAGGGTGGACCATTATGTGCGTTAGTGGGAAGCAGTTCATAGCACAGACTGATATTGTACCTTGCTTGAAGAGAACTTAAACTTGTTTGTTTACTTGGCTGTCTAAAAATAAGACTGAAAGTACAGCAGGATGGAAGTGCTTTTTCCAGAAGCTCACCTCTGTGCAGGCAAAGCTGCTTCACTAGGTGAGCTGTCTCATGTCTGGTGGGAGCTGCTGCTCTAAAAAAAGGGAGGGTGCTATTCTCTCTGAAGTCTTTTTATTCTGAGATTTATCCATCATCGAATGTATATCAATCAAAAAGAAACCAGGATCTCTAAAAGAACAGGATTATTATTACTCTTTTTCTTCTGCTCCTTGGAGTGAGGAAAATTAACTCCAAAAATAGCTTTTCACAGAACATTACTTATGGGCTGGGTGCTTGTAACTACATTTTGTCCTTTGAGATAAAGGTTGTGGCTACTGCTATTTGCTCGGTATTCTGCAGAATGAATCATGCTTCCTCCCTTGGGACTCATTAAGAATGCAAAGCACTTCTGAGACTTATTGTGCTGCCTTGGAGTCCTTTAAAATCCTTAGGAAGAGAGAATGAAATGTATTATGGATAATTCTTGAAAAAAAGTTAATTTCTATACCATGTTAAACTGTAGGAATTGTTATATATATTCCTAATGACCTCCCTCAGGAAACATATGTAAATTGGAGCCTAAATATTCTGTTCGTACAGAAATGTTTCAAGCTTTTGTGGCTATGGAGAAATGTTTGAGAAATGATCAGCCTCAGACGAGTTTAGAAATTTGGTCTCTTGAACAGGAAGCCAACAAGGTCATCAGTTCAGCATGTGAGTGTAGTGAAGCCCTTACAGCTGCCTCCTGGTAGTGGTTTTGGAGACAGTATGTTGACAGACCTGCATGTTACTGGTGAGATGGAGAACCAAGATCCCACTAGGCTGTGGAAGATCCTAAGTTAAGAAAGGATGGGTCCAGGCTGTCTGTGTAAAAACACAGGTGCTTTTTGTCTTGTTTGGATTTTTCAGTGGTCGTGGCAGTAAAAGCTCTTGGGAGGATGGTTTTGTCAGTGTCTTGGCTGATCCAAACTTGGCTCAACCCTTCTTGTAACTTAGTGGAACACCATGAGGAACCCAACTCACCTGTTAAAATAAATTCACTACACATTTGGACAGGCATGAAGTAGGAAGATGACCTGTCAGTGTGGAATTGGAGATAGGGAGCTCCGCACATCTGGAAGTCAAGGCATGGAAGTTCAGCTCTGTTTTATAGCAAGGCAAGAAGATCAGAGTCTTGGTGGTTTCTGGCATTATTGTACACAAAGGATACAGCATGGGGATCTTAGCCTGTGCTTTCCAGATAACAAGATACTGAAGGTAAGTGTAGCTTTCTTTACTAGACACCATACTGACATATTGATTAGCTTTTCTTTCCTGTGACCACCTTTTGATCCTCATGTGCTGATCCTTAAACAAATCTCCGGCGACTTCCTGATTTTGGCAAGCTGCTGATCAGATTGATTTCCTGAATGGTCTTGAGTAGCTTCATTTTACGTTTCATGATGCGTCAGCTCTAACACTGATTGGGTTGAAACTCATATGAGCGGACTGTTTATCCGAAAGAAGATAGAGAAGGGCTGCTTCTGAAAATGAAAAATGAAGTGTTTAAGTTTCAGGTAGGCATTTTGTCCACAGAGCTGGCTCAAGCGGTGTTGCAAAGAGATGTTGATTGACAGAGATGTATAACACAGCAGTACGGGAGGCAGGCCCACCGCTACCTGAGTTTAAGCTGTATGGAGACCCGAGGGCTGGAAGGATGCTTCCATCTTCTGAAGTTCCACACAGCAGGCACAAGAAGCAAGAACAAAACAAAAAAGCCCAGGGCTGTAGGTAAGCTATGGTAACAATTATTAGTCAGGAACATGTGAGTCAAGTCATATACAGCCAGTAGGGTTCTAGCTCTCTCCATCTAACAGTTCTTTAGTTCTTGCAAATTTGTTATGCACTGGTGAGTGTGTAAATACAGTGTGTGTGTAGATGATGAACAGTTCTGGTCTTTTGAAGCCTTGCCGCTGTAAGCAACACACAAACAGCAATCTCTGTAACACAGAACCTAGAAGGAGAAAGGAGAAAAAAATATGGCTTATATCAAATTCATTAACTATGATTCATATATAAACTTGTTTATTTTTTGTTTCCAACAGTCCAGACCTTCTTCTGCCTGTCTTCACACAGCACTGAGCCCAATGGTATGAGCAGACGTTCAAGCTGGTCAGGCAGAGCAGCTGCTTGCAAATACTCTAAGATGTCAGTGTCAAAGGGGATTGCGCTCATCTAGGTAGAGCAACAGGTGCATCTTTGGGGAAAAATAGTATGAACTGGCAACTGTGGGATTTGGTGAACAAGTCAGTACAGTTCTTGGCCAGGTGTAATTCAAACAATAAAACTACTTCTGTTTAAACTTTCCTAGTCAAATTAGTGATGCGTACTCCTTGCTGTCCCTTCCTGTTAGTTAGAGGACTGAAGAACATACATAGCCTCTGCTGGCCTTTTGAGAGCTCTGTTACTAACCTCTGGTGAACGAGTGAGGACAACAGCAGTGTCAATGGCCCTATGTCACTTCTTGGGGGTGGTATGTTGAGCAGCGCCATAATCCATGAAAGAAGGAACTCCATATTCACCAGACTGAGTGAAACATCTTATTTGAAATTTGAAGTGAAATAATCTGTTTAATAGTATGTTAATTCCCATCACTGCTTTAAAACCAAATGAAGGAAACAATAATAATTTTGTTCTGCTTCTTCTGTTCCTACAGCTTAAGGTTGTGACTGCAAGGAAAGCACAACCACAGAAAGGCATGACAATGTGTTATGTTACCGTGTTATAGGGAACTTTATTTGTGGCTCATGGAGAGATAGGCTGGCAGGAGGATTGTGGGCGTGCTGGATATAGTGCTCACTGGGAGAGAGGCTGCACTCCTACACAAGGGCTGCATCTTTGGTTCACTAACATTAGACACTGTTCTCTTGTCAGTTGGGCATGCATTACAGCAACTGACTGCTATGGAAGTGTGGGAAGAGTAATACTTGCCTTCCATGTGACACTTCTGGTTTGATGATGGAGAATAAGGTACCTGCAAATCATAACTCCTTCTAGAGATCTTATTCTCAAGAACAGATGCTTTTGGAAAGCTCTGCTTAGGAACTGAAGCTGTAAGGAACTTAGAAATATTCTTTTTTTGTTCTCTTTCAGTAGGGCATAAACTAAAGTGTGGTTTGTGAGGGAGAGCACAGATACATTCACCGGTGAGCAAGTGCTTTGTCTTTGCATGGTAAATTCTATTCATGCCTGGCCTATCTCAAGAACAGGTGACTGAGCACTCTGATGGATGAGAGATTGAACATCAGGATTTTCCATCACCTGGAAAGCAACAAACACAGCTTTCACTTGGCTGCAGTACTGCTGCAACTTGACTTCTGTAAAGGGTGATATCGTTGGCTTCAGCACCAAGTGAAACAGGTCAACCTCAATATTGTAGAAAACCTTTATTTTTTAGAAGTACGGCAGATATCCTAACACTGTTATTCTCCTAACAAGCCATATTTAATCGAGTAGAATAATCTTTGTTTTCTGTTTTTTAACAATCCTTGTCTTTCTCACTGCCATACATAGCTGTCTAGTAAAAAGAGAGAAATTGAGAGTAAAATTAGCTCGTGGCTCCAGTAAGAGGCGAGTGGTGCTTGGCCATTAACTGATTGAATAGCTAGGGCTTGTCTATCCTTAAAATGCCACAGACTGATAAATGCAAGCTGTGGCCAAAAGACGTGCTCAAATAGCCTTTTTTTGCTTCAATTAAAATTGATGAAGACACAAATAATTAAGGTGTACACAGTCTGCATAGACAAAGCAAAATAGTTATATTAATGCTTAGGGAAGCTTACTGTGCTAGGCAGTTGGCTGCTTCCCTTCAGATGATATGCTCTGTCAGTGCAGTTATAGTCTGTGTCTGAAGCTCTGAAAAGAGATCCGTCACCTGTGACTTCCAAAATGACTTTGTTGGAAAGTATTTGTTGCATCAGAGGCCTCTAGTATGCATACATAAACACTGTCAAGAATGGGAAATTAAGGAAGAGTTTAAGGAGGAGAAAAGCATGTATGAACGCTATGATTTCAAGCTTCTCTTCTAGATGTCAAAGATCTAACAAGTAAGCAGCATGGTATTCATTTAATGGAAGAGGTTAAAATTGATACTGAAACATATGTAAGAAATCAACTATTAATCGCTTAATGTTCAGTAATCAATTGCCACTCACTTCCACACTTTGGTAAAGTCTCATTTCAACTTGATCACAGTATAAACTTCCAAAAACGAGTTAAAGAAACATCAATTCTGTGCGTGCTCACTCTCCTGTGAGGGAAGAGATGTATTCAAAATATAAATGTATGCATGCAGATAGACTGGTTATTATCTGTACAAGTTTTTTTTGAAAGTATAGGTATTTGACCTTTCCAGGTTCAAACCTAGCTGAATATGTAATTCATCTTCATGAATTGAAAAGGACAGCCAAAATGTTTTCTTCCTCTGGAGGTAATGTCGGCTGTAATTTGAAGAAATTATGCAAAGGGCAGAATGTGCAGTCGTACAGTATTAGATTGTGTCATGCAATATTGGACCCAAGAAGCTTTATGAATGCCTTCTCAAGTGTTATCAGAAATCATCATTTAAACCCTTGCTTAGTCTTACAGGCATATTAAGACCTCTGTATTGATTAAATAAAAATAGTTACAAGCAATATGCAAGAGAATTCTTGTAGGTACCAAAACCAGGTTTTAGTTGAACTAACTGCTTTTTTCATGGACTCTTTTTCTTTCCTTGTTTTTCTGCAGTTTGCAAGTCATTGCTACTTAGCAATGAAGAAGGGAGAAAGACTGCTTCTGAACTGATTGTGGCAACTTTGGTCAGAAAGGGACAATTTCTATATAAAGAGAGGATTTTGTAGATGATAAGATTGTTCTAGTCTGAGATAATTGCGTCTTTGCTATTTGTATTCAATGGCTAAAGTGTGATTCATCTTCTGTCTTGAATGTGTCTCTTTCACAACTGACTGCAGTCAGTCTAGAAAACAAAATTAGATTTATACACATAATTTCCAGGCAGACTGTAGTAGGTAAGCTGATTCCTATCTCTCTCCTCTCTTAGCAGTAGGTTGTGTAGTGCAAGATGAGATCTTTGTCCTAGAGACTTCAATCACTGGTATACCAGCTTCCTCTGTGAAATATGTGCAATAGAGTCAGGCATCTCAGCTGTGGCTTGAGGCTGCTGCATAGACTCTCTGCAGCCTTTCCCTTAATTAAGGACTCAGTGGGCTGAGATGGAGGGGTAGGAAGGGATGTCACAGATTATACCAAGCTGCCCCTGGTTATGTCAGAGTCTTGGAGAGAGGGGAATCCAAGTTAGGTTGTCAAAAAAATGTGAAACAGGAAGTCACAACCCTAAGAGAGAATGATGTGTGTAAAACCACGTGTCATGGTTGGTGCATGAATAAACAGAGAAGTCTATGATTTGTAACAGTGGATTCTGTAGTAGTGGGGAAGAATAAGGAGGTGGAACTGGTCTGGAAGCCATGGTAAAAGCAAGAAAACAGGAGGCTTCTAAAACTAATTGACATGAGTATCATGTTGACTCAGGTCAGAAAGGGGTAACAGGCATATTTTGATATGCATTAATTACAGAAGCTGAAATGAAACTGCTTAATTACCAGTTCATGCATGCAAAGTAATGGCTCAAAACCAATGGCCATTTCTGGTGGATGCGTGTGAAAGCACATTTCTCAGAAATACTCGTATTAACCTTTCAAGCTGGCCTGCAATCAGCAGTGTCCATCGGGGAACCCAAAAGTAAGCCTATCATTGTGTGGAGATGGCAGGTTTTTTTAACCTCCAGACTTTCTTATATAGGAAACATGTAATTAATGGCTAAAGAAATGGAAGGAAACAGCAATATTCAGTTTAATAATGTGATTTTATTTCCTATGTGTTTTCTGTCTTTTTTCAGTTTGCTAACCTGTGTTATTGTAAGCAGGGGAAAATACACCAAACTATAATTTCGCTATTTAGAAGTAGAGATGAGTGAAGGAAATAACAGGTACCATACCAGTGTTTGGGTCTTGGCTAGCCATCAGATTCCTACTAGCTCACACGTCTCCAAAGCTGGATGTGTGGAGAGAACAGGAAGAACAGGAAAGAGGAAAAAGCTTGTAGGCTGAGATAAAGGCAGGGAGGTTGTTTTGCCTGCAACAGTAATTGGTAAGCTGATTCTAACTGAGGAAAACTGACTTAATTTTTGCCAACTAAAATAAAAATGCAACTGCTAATTTGGGTAGTGGGAAACAAAAAAGACAAACACTGAAATAACACCTTTCCTCCCCTGCTTTCCCAAGTTCATCTTCGCTCCTGTCTCGTCTGCTTGGTTACTTGAGGGGAAATAACCAAGCAGTATTGTGGGAGTTACAGTCAGCATACAGTGGCTTCTCTCTGCCACTCCTGTCTTCTCCATGGGATGCAGTTCTTTAGGAAAACCCATCTGCTCTGGCATGGTCTCCTCTATGGGCTTTGGCATGGGTATCTGCTCCTACAGTAGGAGCTCCCTTTTCTCCTCCTCTAGCCTTGGTTTTTCATCTGCTTCTTGTTCATTTTATTTCCTGATCTTCTCTCCATCAGGCATTTTTTCTCTTCCTGAAATACATTTTTCCAGCAGTGCCACCAGGCTGGTTGATGTGCTCAGCTGTGCCCTGATGTGGGCATACTGGAGATGACTGGCACTGGCTATATTCAGCACAGGGCGAACCCTCAGTCTCTTTTCACACAGCTGCATCTCCCTGCTGCCAATTCTTTGCCTCCGACAACCAATACAAACACTCAATTAGGTGCTGTTTGGATAAATTCTATTTTCTGCTTCATTTATTTCATGCAAATGGCTCAGATATGGCCTAGGTATGAGAAAGGTGCATTATGATGTTATTTACCTCACTGACAGGAATGGAAATAACTTCTGTCTCAGCTTGCCTTTGTAACCTGAAGGAAATGGCATACAATTTTCTTCTCAAGTTTAGAGCATACGTCTAGCACTACAGCCTCTGATTGACTTTTATTACTGTCTTAATAACAAACCATGGTTATTTTTGTCTTCTCAAGGAAAAATATTTGAAGTTAAACCTCTGAGGGAAAAGTGAAGTCTGGAGGTGAAATTTGTGCTTCTCTAGAGTAAGAAGAACTTATTGAACAGGAGTGCAATATATTTTAATACTGACAAAGGTAACAGATTTCTATGTACTCTAATCTGTGCTGTGATCAGTTTGGTGAAAGACTTTTCTGAATTACACAAACAATTTTAAGCACTACAGCCATGTGCTCAGACAGGTGAGAAGCTGGGGAGGTGACTGGAGTGTCTGAGGAGTTTTCAGAGCCCTGGCACTCTTGCACTGCATGCATGGTGACTGGTGTCACGAGTGGGACTGGCAAACGTTGGACAGAGCTGGCCAACCACACAGCCAGTTCAAAACGCAGGGAGCTGCATACTGTGCAATGATTCCTCAAGTCAAGCAGACAGGGCAGGAGACTGTTTTGGTTCAGTAGGAAACTCTGCCTGGAACAAGGGCAGAAAAAGAAAATATGTGACCTCTGTGAGCAATGTTCACAGGACGTTGCTTAACAGGGACAATACAGAGCTGCAGTTTGCATCTGCAGGGAGAAAATGGGAAAAGCCAAAGTCCAACTTGCGTTGACAAGGACCACTGTGGTGTCAGACAACAAAAATGGCTTTTTCAAGTAATATCAACAGCAAGAAAAGATCAGAGGAAAGCATTAGACTGATATTTGGAGTAGATGGCCACTTAATAAGTACAGAGGAGAAAAAGGCATAGGCACTTCATGCCTTTTTGCCTCAGTATTTAACAATAGTGACAGGTATTGGGCTACCCTGATCTCAGAGTTGGAAGACTGCAACTGGGGGAACACAGACTTCCCACCTATGATCACTGAAATTGTGAGGGACCAGTTATATCAACTCAACATTTGTAAGACCACAGGACCAGAGATGATTCATCCTAGGGAACTGAAAGAGTTAGCAGATGTTATAGCTGGATTCC